TTTTAGCTTTAATATTTGAAAAATAAACAAAAGAAAAAGAATTAAAAGAAGTTGGAAAATTGAAGAGAAAAGGAAAATAAAGAGGTTTCTTTTGCTTCAGATGTTGGGCCTATTTTAATTTTAACAAAAAAATCGAGCCCAAACTCCTCAAATCCATTTAAATTCTACCCAGGCCCAATTGTATTACCCAGTCCGCTCCAGCGAATAGCCAAAACGACGTCGTTTTCCTCCAATTAATCTCGGCCGTCTAGGATTGTTGATCCAACGGACGAGAAGTCCCCATCACTTAGTATCTGTCCGAACCGTACCCACCCCTCTTCAGACCCCCACTCCGTCTCTAACCCTCCTAAACCCTAGAGAGACCAGCCGCCTTCACCTCCTCCGTCAACTCCGCCGGCGGCGATGACACAAACTACTCCGATAACTCCCAAATTCACACCATGTCTTCTCCTCCTCCTCCTCATTCCAAATCCAAGTTCCGTTTTCTTCAAAACTTGCCCAAACCCCTCGCATCTCTGTTTAAAATCATGAACCCTAGCCGCCGCCTTTGTTCTCTGGTGGCGGCGCCACCCTCAAACCTCACCAAAATCACACCCCAGGGCCTCTTTGACCTCCTCTTCCCAAATCCTAAACCGAAATCCCTCAAATCCAGTTGTAACCCCTCGGATTTTAGATCTAGGGTTTCCGTTCAAGACTGTTCGAGTTTCCAGGGTTAGCTAGTGTTCGAAAGGGTTTTGAAATTATGCTATGTGTTTGTTCTTGGCAAGAACAAACACATAACATTATTTGAAGATCGGATTCGAAATCAGTCGAGTTAAAGCTCAAAATTAGTGAGTGTTCTTAAATTTCTTTTTATCTGTAAATTTTCCCTTTTATGCATTAGCTTTCTGATTTTGTTTTGCTTTTGTTCGTCTTCAGTATTTCTTCTATTTTTAGGATTGATTTAGGGATTGATTGGTTTTGATTACATTTTGTCATTTGATTTGATTGCAACCGTATGATTCCTGTTTAACTACTTAGTTTGATTAGTTTAGTTTGATAATTTGATTAGTATTTCTGCCTGTGGTTTGATTTTGTTTGCCAGTATTCGATTTTCTTTTCTTCTCTAGTCATACTATTTTTGTGTTAATTTTGTTCACTTCTTAATTTTAGTTTGACTGATAATAGACAGTAGTAATTCAGTTAGTTAATTCAGAATTAAGAGTTTTGTTATAATTGAATTTGGTTATAGTTGAATGATCTTCAAGTTGTTGATTGACCATGGTTTAGTTTAAAGGGTTAGGTTAGTAATTTTAGGGGGCAATTCTGGGGTACTGTAGGTGTTCTACTTAGAAAATATTGCAATAACAGAAAAAAAAACCCTCTAGAAGCTTCTAGGTTGGGGTGTTAAGTTGAATATCAGATTTTAGGTAGTATAACTTGGAAAACAAGTTAGGAATTCTAAGGACTCAATAGTTAAAAACTGAAAACTGAAAGAGGGACCTAGGGTGTAAATGAAAAATTTGAAATAGCCCTAGTCTCTTCTATAAAAGGGGCAATACTCTTGCCTTGCAAGCTAAGTTTTGGAGATCAAAAAATTTGAAAATTCAAAAATCCAAAAGCTTTGAGAAGTAGAGATAGATCTGAAAATCCCAAATTCAAACAAAAAACAAAAAAAAAAAGTCTTAACCTTGAACGATGAGAGCTAGTACTGAAAATCAATAGAAATCCTGTTGAATCTGAGAGTTTCCGAGATTTTAGAGTTCAAATCCTCGATTTTCAAGCATTGAAAGATCTGAAGCTCCAGTAATTAAAGGTTTCAGAGGTTCTGGTGTTTATTTCAAGTGCAAATTGGGTCATTCCAGCTTGGTTTAAGTGTTTGCTGTGGCTGATTTGTGGGAAATTACTTCCTGGACTGTTTGGGCACCATTTGCTGGGTTTTGAATTTGGTTTTAAGCTGCTGTTGACCGTCTGCTTACTGCTGCTGACTCTTCTCCTTTCTTACATTTCCTTATATCTCCAGGTATTCTCCTAGCTCATAGTTGAGGATCAGTTGCTAAGCATGTAATGGATTTGAAAAGGATGGAATGAAGAATGCTTCAAATTGATTTTCCTGCTATTACTATAGTTTTTAGGTAATACTTAGCATGATAATAGGCAGTATTTGGACTTCCTCTTCCTGAAACTTGTATATTTTGTATATATTGATGAATTGGACTGCTGAACTATCTCATATCCTGTTCATTCGTTTCGGATCTAGTAGTGTAAAATGAGTTCGCAATTCATGTTTGGCTTAAATGTTAACAAAATGAATTGTTGAACTATATCTCAGATATCCTCAAGGTCTATTATCATGTTTCAATCGTTAATTTGGTATATGGTGAACCAAATGGTAACTATAGGATTTAGCTACTTTGATTCCATGTTTCAGAACCTAGTTCCCTCACAGCTTGAATTTGAGATCATTCGATTAGAATTTTAAAATCATTTCTGCACTCTCTCGATTTAACACGTAGATCACTGCTATTTCTCTGATAGTTGCATATGAAAACTGAAGATTCAAAATTTGGCACATGAGTAGAATTAATTTTAATCCATGCCAAAAGTTTCTCCTGCCTTGGTACAAGTTAATTAACATTGTTGTTGATTATTTGAACTTTAAGAACTGGGTTTGTCAATAGGCCCAGTTTGGCCGCCTGTCCATTTGCTTCATTGGCACATGGCCCAGTTCCAATGCTGGATTGTCTTTTCACTTGGGCCTGTTCTATAGCCTGAATTTTAGACAGCATGTGTGAATAAACTAAATAGATTTTGGGCTGGCATCAAGGCCCTATCCGCCGAAAAGCCACATCTTGTTTATCGAAGTTATCGGATTTTTAAAAATTGAATTATGAATTTTGGGCTTTCCAAGTTAAGAAGCGAATTTGAATTAAGAGGTTTTCCTTTTGTTCAAATTCGGACTTGAACTTGAGGCCTGAATTTTTGAATAGTAGTTGACTAATAATATTAATTAATTAGGCCCGTTAGAGACAATCTGTAATAGAAAATAGTAGTCCCTTTTAGGATGGCCTTAAAAATGAAACGAGGTGCGCCACGCCAAACAAAATTCAAAATTGCGTGGCCCTCTTTAAATACTCACATTAAAATATTAAGAACTCGGGACGTGCCATTTAGCGAATTTTCATGGCCTCCCGCAAAGTTAATAACACGTTAGTCGCTTTAGGGCGTTCTTTAATAATTTTATCTTCCTAAATTCGGGTGTGCATTTCATGTGACCAAATCCAAATCCCAAAACGTTGAATAAAATTTGTCGCGGATCCGGGTGCACTTCATGTGACGTGATCCAAAAATATATTTTAAACGACGTTCAATTTCTTTAAAATTAATCAAAAACGATAAATAATTTTAAAATTTCACTATAGGATGACATGTATTAAAATCAGATTTTTAGCCAATTATAATGGTTTAAGCGACCGTGCTAGAACCACGGGATCCGGGGGTGCCTAACACCTTCCCTCGGGTCAACAGAATTCCTTATTCAGAATTTCTGGTCCGCAGACTCCATTCGGGAAGTCGAAATTTCCTCGATTTGGGATTCAAGAAAAAGCGGTGACTTGGGACACCAAAAGCCAAACCTATCCCAAGTGGCGACTCTGAAAATCAAATAAATAATCCCATTTCGAATAATGTCACTTAAAATGGAAAAACTCCCTTATACATTATCCTTCGGGGTAGGTGTGTAAAAAAGGAGGTGTGACAGCTCTAGCGACTCTGCTGGGGATACGAACCTAGAATTTCGGTTCAGGGTTCAAGAATTCAAGCTTGGAATAATTGTTATATTTGGCTTATCTGATTTCCCTACATGTTTCGTGCTAAATGTGCTAAATGTTTTACCGCTTTGATATTTGCTGAATTGTATATATAAAGTGCTACGAAACCCTTCCTCTCTCTGAGTCTTCTACATCATGGAGAAGGGTGCACTTCGTGTGACTTCTCTTCTGTTTAGAGTCTTATCCCATTTAGAACGAGGTTCGGATAAGTTGCTAAGCAGGCGGAGCTTCTGTATCCCCGGTACGCTGCCCCCCTCGGCTCGAGTTGTCCGCTCGGGTAAGCCAGATCTAGAACAATAAACCAAGGGCTTAAACCTAGTATAACAAAGCCTCATGCTGGATCCCTAGTAGGAACGTTTGTTTGCATCATGTGCATTTGACTTAGGGGGCTCAACACAGGGGTTGGGTCCGTCTAGGACAGGTGACCTAAAATGAAAAGACCATCCTGATGCATCTTACGTGCTACTTGTGCATTTATTTGCTCGGCTTTGCATGTTGACCGGCTTGTACATAATGGGAGAGAATTGAACGGAAAATAGCAGTGTTAGGACTAAGTGAGGGTAACCACTTGCTTTGAAAAAACCAATATCCAAATAGTACTGAAACTCTGCCGGATTTTTGAAAAAAACAAAGAAAGATTTTTGTTTTCAAAATATATTTGGTTTTGACAAATCTGCCCGAACTACGCTGGTTTGATTCTCACCGGATGTGAGATACGTAGGCAACCCTCATCGGGTCCAACCTCCCTTTTGCAAAAATAGCCCAAAAATACCAAAATAAGTCGGGTGATGCCATTCTTGTTTTAAAATAAGCCGAATGTCCCCAAAAGGATGCCGGAAGGCTGTTTTTGCAAGAACAGCCACCTTAAGTCATTTTTTTAAACGGTTAGCAGGCACAGCCTTAAAATCTCCCTCCCAGAAGTGCTGAAAGGCCGTATCTGCAAAACCGAGTCTTTGTTTTTTAAATAAAAATTTTGAAAAAATAGCCACTTTTTCCTTTAGGTCAAAATAAATCACTTTAAATAGCCATTTCTTCCTCTAGGTCAAAATAAGTCATTAAATCACTTCGAATAGCCACTATTTCTTTTAGGTCAAAATAAGACATTAAATCACTTTAAATAAAATGTGCAGGATGAGTACAATTGACATTGAAACTTTCTCAGTCCTGAGTTAGATCCTTTTGAAGCTTCACATGTGGTGGAATGACCTAGGAAAGGGTAGCAGAGAAACGGTGGTAAAGATTCAGGGCGGTCTCGTCGGGTTATTGAATATCAAGCCAAGGCTGGATATTATTGAAGCATTGATACCTTTTTGGGACCCAACTCGCAACGTGTTCCGGTTCTCGGACTTCGAGCTTACACCTACCTTAGAGGAGATGGCGGGATATGCGGGTCTGAACGGAAACCTCAGGGGTCGATATCCATTGGCACCGAGACCGGTAACCCTCCACAGATTTCTGGACTTATTGAGTGATAGCCGAGATATTCAGGATAAGAATCTATCAGAAGGATATTGCACTCTCCACTTCTTGTACCATCGATGTGGCAACCCGCAAGGTTTTGAGGAGCCCAATACTGGTTTAACACACGCTGGAAACAAAGATAAGTGGGAGGCACGCAGGGGTTTGGCCTTCATGGTAGCTTTTTTGGGAGTCGTGATTTGCCCACGAAAAGATGGTCACATAGATATTGGCCTCGTGGGAATACTAGATGTTGCAATAAAGAAGTCCAACAGCACGGTGGTCCCTCTGATTGTGGCTGAGATATATCGAGCCCTAACCATGTGCCGAGAAGGGGAAAAATTCTTTCAAGGATGCAATTTGTTGCTACAACTATGGATACAAGAGCACCTATGCCACCGGACTGGGTACATGAACTATGGTTTAACCGGGTTGAGTTGTATTGAAGAATTTAAAACCAGGGTAACAGGTATTGAGTTCCTAGAGGGTACCGAGGCTTGGTTGTCATGTTTGAGATCTTTGACTGCTGACAAAATTGAGTGGGCTTTCGGATGGCTTCCCGTTGCTGAGGCAGTATATACATCAGCTGAAGTGCCTTATATTCTTTTGATGGGCATTCGGAGCATCCAACCTTATGCTCCCCACCGGGTCTTGCGGCAATTGGGAAGATTCCAAACTGTTCATAACGATGAAGATCTGAGCAAACAAATCATTGAATTAGGCCCCAAAGATGCCTTTCCCGAGGGGAAGATTCGCAAAATATGGAATGAGTGTAGGTTTCTTGAACCTAAGACCATAGTGCGAGATCGGGCTAGAGGTGAAGTGGACCCGAAATACATGATTTGGTTTGGAAAAAGATTCCAGATTTCTGAAAGACCCGCAAAGAGGCCACATGTACAACAATTTACTGACGGGACCCAGGTACAATGGGATTGGCTAGCCAAGGATAAGGAATACCGGGCTAGAATAGGGAAGTTGGAGCAACAGGTCCAAGATCTTCAATTTGAAAAGAGTGTGCAAGCCGCAACTGATGGGGGAGACAAAAAGAAATTAACTCAAGAAAATGAGGTTCTTAAGGCTCAGATCCGACAAATGAAAATAGCTGCTAAAAATCAAGAAAGAAGTCGGTACGATGAAAGGTTGATAAACGGGCTGAAAAAGCAAGTCTTAGAGTGCCAGGAAGAGTTGGAGAAATCTGAGGGGAATATAGCAAAAATCCGGGCACAGTGGGCAAAAAAACAGAGGAGAGGGCCCAATTTGTGCAGCAGATGAAAAGAAACTATGAAGGGACCATTACCAATTTGAGACGAAAAGTGAACACCCTTGAGGACGAGGCAGCCCAGCGGGACAAAGACTTCCAGGTTGAGAAGGAGCATTGCTATAGGATAATGGCCGAGATGGAGAAAGAAATGAAGCTGTTGCAAGACCATCACTTCCACGATTCCCAGGTGTTAGAGGCCCACAACCAGCAAATAAGCCGACTACTTCAGGAAAAGGGCCGGATCAGAGAAAGAATTAGAGCCATCGCGGATTATATTGTCATGAAGTGTCAGGCAGGCGAAAGAATGAGTCGCACCACCTTCTTTACTACGGTGATGATTTTTGTTCGTCAAGTTATGAATGATTTGGAGCAGCTACAAGGGGGTCTTGCACATCGGCCCGCGGCGATGCCGAATGATGCCCCGCGGGCCCCAGGATTTGAAGCTTTAATGTATTCTTGACCCAGTTTTAGTCATCGAGTCTGTATTATTTTGAGTCTGTTTGTAGTTTTCCTTTCCTTCCCAAAAAGACGAGTAGTGTAGCATCTTTTGTAATAGAAGTTTTTATTAATGAAAAATTGAAAATTCCCAAAAATTATTTCTTTACTTTTCACATTTATTTTTTAAGAACTACGCTTGGTCTGATTCATGCAGGGTCATGATACGTAGGCAATCTCCATAGGATTCGACCGTAACACTAAGAGAAAAGAAAAAGGGAGGAAAGAGAATAATAAAAAAACAAGAGAGGAAAAAAAACAAAAGAGAGAAAATAAGAAAACCGAGAGAAAGAAACCATAGCAAAAAGCAAAGGCAAGAATGAAAGAAAAGAAAAGAGGGAGAGAAAAGAAGAATGAGAAAAATGAGAGAAAAACCAGAAAAGCAAGGAAAAGGCAGGAAAAAGAGGGTCGGAATAAAAAGAAAAGAATTTGGACAGGGAAAGCCGGGATGACGTATGCAACCGTTGCGAAACATATAGAAACCATTTAACTGTATAGGTGCATCACGCCTCAACGTGCGATTACCTATCTATTATTTGCCTCAAACTAACCGTTTGCTGTTGTCACTTCCAGTTCAAATTTTATAGAAACGGTGGTTGGTTTTTCGTGGTAAACTGGCATCACATCCGTACTTACTAGATCAAAGGGGAGCATAGAAATATCTTTGGAAATGACCTTGCCAGCCATTCCCATCCCAGAAGATGTCCCAATCTCGGGCATCCCGACCTCCGAGTCTGCCACAGCTGAAGAGAACAGGATCTTACGTCTTAGGGTCATGGAGATGTGGGATGGGTGGACTAATGGAAGGGAGCCTCCAAGTGCCATCCCCGGATTCCCCGAGTTATTTCCTAGAACAGGGGGTACCTCTAATATCCCCATCAGCCACCCGAATACCCCATTGGGACAGCCCACCATGCCGGCTCATTTTGTGGGAACACCTTCTGAGGTCCGCCCCCAGGTGTTCACATCTGGAGCAGTCCCCAATATCTTTACTGCTCCACCATGCTCGGCCACCACACAGCCTTCACTGCCTAGGCCTACTTTTGATCCTTCGGTCTTTACTTTTCAGAATCCTACTTACCAAGTGGAGCCTCCTCAGTACCCCACCTATACTTACTCCCAACCACCTCCATATGAGTTCACAACGGGACAGGAAAAGACTCCCAAAGCGCCTGAGCAGGATGAGATGGCAAAAAGGATGAGGAGTCTAGATCAGAGCTTAAAAAATATGCAAGGTTTAAGCGGGCAGAAGAGTGTTTCTTATAATGATATGTGCATGTTCCCTCACGTGCACCTGCCCATGGGATTCAAAATGCCGAAGTTTGAGAAATTTGATGGGCATGGCGATCCCATCGCTCTCCTCAAAAGGTATTGCAACCAACTGCGTGGGGCTGGCGGAAAAGAGGAGTTGTTAATGGCTTACTTTGGAGAAAGCTTGGTAGGCATAGCCTCGGAATGGTATATGGATCAGGACATATCTCGATGGCACATTTGGGACGATCTTGCCAGAGATTTTGTTCGACAATTTCAGTACAACATAGATATTACGCCGGACAGGAACTCCTTGGCGAATCTAAAAAAAGAAATCCTCAGAAAGTTTTCGGGAATATGCAATTAAATGGCACGAGCAAGCATCAAGGGTGAAACCCCCAATGGATGAAGTGGAAATGGTCACCGTATTTCTTCAGGCCCAGGAAGCCGATTACTTCCAGAACATGATGTCGGCTATGGGCAAACCTTTTGCAGAGGCAATCAAGATTGGTGAGATGGTAGAGAATGGTTTGAAAATGGGTAGAATCTTGAGCCAGTCAGCCATCAGAGCAACCTCCCAGGCCATTCAAGGCGGGTCTGGAGGAATGGCTAAAGGAAAGAAGAAAGAAGAAACGTCCATGGCAGCATCAGGGGCAAGGAGGCATCGCGCTCCCAGACCCATGTTTTCTGAAAGAACCCCTCAACATTACTACCCTCATCATGATATGGCTTATGCTCCTCCACCTTATGCGGTCATGAACGCTCAACCCTTTGCCCGGCTACAGCCACATGTCAATAGAAATCAAGCTCCATTCCCAAGAAATCAGCCTCCCCACCAGAACCACTATAATCCTCGACCTCCGAAGAATAACTTCCGTCCTCGGGAACCACCCAGGAGACCAAATTTTACACAAATCGGTGAACCCTACTCCAGTCTGTTCCCGAAGCTTGTTCAAATGAATTTGCTGCAGCCCATACCTCCACCTCCTTTTTTACACACCTACCCCGAAAGGGTAGTGTATAAGGGAGTTTTTCCATTTAAAGTGACATTATTCGAAATGGGATGTTTTATTCATTTCAGAGTCGCCACTTGGGATAGGTTTGGCTTTTGGTGTCCCAAGTCACCGGTTTATCTTGAATCCCAAATCGAGGAAATTTCGACTTCCCGAATGGAGTCTGCGAACCAAAAATTCTGAATAAGGAATTCTGTTGACCCGAGGGAAGGTGTTAGGAACCCCCGGATCCCGTGGTTCTAGCACGGTCGCTTAAACTATTATAATTGGCTAAAATCTGATTTTTATACATGTCATCCTATAGTGCAATTTTAAAGTGTTTACTGCTTTTAATTAATTTTTAAGGAAAGTGAACGTCGTTTAAAACATGTTTTTAGATCACGTCACATGAAATGCACCCGGATCCTCGACACATTTTATTCAACATTTTGGGATTTGGATTTGGGTCACATGAAATGCACACCCGAGTTTAGGAAGGTAAAATTATTAAAGAACGCGCCTAAAGAGACTAACGTGTTATTAACTTTGCGGGAGGCCATGAAAATTCGCTAAATGGCATGTCCCGATTTCTAATATTTTAATGAAGTAATTAAAAAGGGCCACGCAGTTTGTGATTTTATTTGGTGCGGCGCACCTCGTTTTCAATTTTAAAGGCCATCCTAAAAGAGACTATTATTTCTATTAACGATTGTCTCTAAAGCAACTTAATTAATTAACATTATTAGTAAACTAATTTTTAAAGCATTCATGAAATTCGGGCTTCAAGACCAAGTCCAAATTTAAACAAGAGGACCTTCATTTATTGGAGGCTCCTTAATTCAAATTTGCTACTTAGCTTGGAAGGCCCAAAAGACTTGCATTACCAAATTAAACCCACAATTGTGATTATAGCTCTCAGCATTGAGTTTCGAGTTTGGCCCAATAGAAGGAAAGCAAAATCAGTCGTCTTATGAACTGCTACTAGCCTTGGGCCTCAACGCAAGCCCAATTGAGAAGATAGGTAGGACCGGAACTAGGCCATGCATCAGTGATGCTGAGGCCCAAAGCAATCGACACAGACTATCAGCCCTGGGCCTATAGGCGAGCCCAATCAATATTATGATCTTGCTTCAAAATTGGATTCATTGATTGGGATAAAAAAAGGGAAATTTCAAGTTTGATAACTACCAATCTAATTCTAAACTAACGAAATCCTACAAATATTTAAGGGATTCAGTGATTGAACTAACGTGATTAAGACTCATTTACTATACTGGAATGCCACTTTGACTCCAAAACGAGATGCTGGAATTTGGACGAGAATGTGACGTCATTTGGCATGCTTGGTTAAATTTAGCGTACGTACTCATTTTGAACCTATTTTTTTTAAAACCATTACTTCATTCCAGCTGGAACTTCAAATTAACAGAATAGCTAGAAATTGTCCATATCATAGCTAATAGTATACTCATAAATCTGAAATACAGTTTCCTACAGTCCAAACAGCACCTTAATCTAAACTCAGACCTTAAATTGGCATAATAACCAAACTAAATTTATTAATCCACAGCTAGTATCATACTTATACTACTCATACAAGTCTGAAAATAATTCATAATATTCATAATAGCTATGATAAGCTAATACACACGAATATTCCAATGCAAGTAGTCATAATGCTGATAAGCTAATTTCAGTCATAAAATTCCAATTCTAAACAGTCCTTAGTCAATTACACACTAAGATATGATAGAGTTCTGAAACTAATTACAATTCAATAATGAAATTCAACATGAGAAGAACAGGCAGCACTTCATTTCATTCCAAAACCTGAGAGATACAGGATGCGTACCTGGAATTGAAACAAAGTAGGGAGAAGGTAGTATCAGCAGTATAACAGCACTCAATTAAGCAGGAAACCAGCAGTTCCAAGTTGAAAACCCAAGAAATTAGAGTAGGATGTAGTAAATCTCCCAAATTGGCTTCAATCAACCCAAAATTCGACAGACTTAAACCTAGATTTGATGAACCAAAATGACCTTCAACAGATAACTTCCTATCGATTTCAGAACTTAAAAGTAAGCTTCAGCTTTTTTGAAACTGGATGAAACAGTGCATTTTTTTTTGAATTTTAGTAGTTTTTCAGGAGTTTTTGGATTTCAGTAGGTTTTTAATTTGAATTTCGAAATCTCAGAGTTTTTTTGAATCTCTAATGCTTCTAGAAACTAGTGGGATTTTTCAGATTTCAAAAATTTGTTCAATAAGGCAATGGG